GTTATAAGCACTTGCCGGTAAAGCAGCTAGAAATAGATGTTTGTAGGGCAGTTACTACAATCCAGCATGGTTCTAAACATCTTAGGGTGTATAACCTTATAGATGAGAGGACTTTCTGGTAGTTCTTTATTACTTGGAGGAGTACAGTTATAGAATTAGTGGTTTTCATAATAACCATATAAAATACTTTCAGCTTGGCAGTTGACTGCACAGATACATCACTTGGCAAAGCCTTCAAGTCTGCTTTCAGTACATTTGGCTAACCTGGTTTTGGCAGGTCTCAAATGCATATATTTAGTTTTCTTCTTGTGTTTCAGTAAGAACTCTAATTTCGAAGAACGGGTAGTTGGTGTCTTTCCTATCCATCCAGAGTCTGTAGAAGCAGTCACTTGAGTAGGAGGGCCTGGGAGGCACTCCAACCTGTTGATGTTTTGGTAGAATCTGAAGTAATAGCAAAGTTAGAGGCTGTGAAATGACAGCTCAAATTCTAGTTTCCTAGAATCAGCCAGACTTTGCCCTGCAATACCTCCTTTTCCCATCTATCTTAGTTTTACCCTAGATCTCAACTCCAGACCCCAATTCTTAACAGTAAAATCCTAATCTTACTTTGCTTCTTTGTATGGGTAAAGAACAGAATACAGAGAAAGGCTCAGCAGGGACCCTTTTCCTCCCAGGGAAGACCCTTAGACTTTTTGGAAACTGCTCTGTGATTGTTTAATGGACTTATAAAGTGGGTGACAATTAGCCTATTGTAGGAGACCAGTGGTGTCTGCGCACAAACACCAGACAAAGCAATGTATTTGACAGAGGAAGAAAAAGTCTGTGGATTAGATCCTAGAGTTTGCCAATTTTTTAAAAAGTGACTCAAGAAAAATTTCCCATTGATTGAATACATGAACCAGAAGACTACCTGAAGATAAGATGATGGTTGCCTTCATCTGTCTCTGCTAGTATAGTCTAGGTTTTATATAAGCCCTTATTATTTTTTTATTTTATTTGAAAGAGCCAGATAAAGCGAGCACCCGTCAAGTGACTCACATCCTTACATGCCCACAAGGGCTGCAGCTACCCCAGGCTGAACTCCATCCAGGTCTCCCGTGTAGATGGCAGGCACCCAACTACTTGAACCATCCATCACATGCTGCCTACCAGGGAGTGTAGTAGCAGAAGGCTGGGAGTTGAGGGGGAACCAGAACTCAAACCCAGGTACTCCAGTATGGAATATGGACATTCTAATTGGCAGAGACTCACATGAAGTTCTAGGCTGCTGCAGGCATTTGGGGAGTGAACCAGCAGGTAAGAGGTTTCTGTCTGTCTCTGTCTCTCTGTCTTTAAAAGAAACAAAATAAATTTTATTTTAATTAAAAAAAAAAAAAAAGACTGGTGGGCATTGTGACACAGTGTGTTGAGTCACCACTTGGGCTGTCCATATATCATATTGGAATGCTTGGAATCAAATCCCAGCCATGGGGCCATTGCTGTGGCGCTGTGGGTTAATGCCCTGGCCTGAAGCACCAACATCCCATATGGCTGCTGGTTCTAGTCTCGGCTGCTCCTCTTCCTATCCAGCTCTCTGCTACAGCCTGGGAAAGCAGTAGAAAATGGCCCGAGTCCTTGGGCCCCTGCACCACGTGGGAGACCTGGAAAAGGCTCCTGGTTCCTGGCTTCGGATCGACGCAGCTCTGGCCATTGCAGCCATCTGGGGAGTGAACCAGCAGATGAAAGACCTCTCTCTGTGTCTCTACCTCTCTCTGTAACTCTGTCTTTCAAATAAATAAAATCTTTAAAAAAAATTTTTTTTTAAACCCCAGCCACTGCCTTTGAACCAGCTTCCTGCCCTTGCTCCTGGGAGGCAGCAGATGATGTCCCAGTCTCTTGAGTTCCTGCTAGCCATGTGGGAAACCTGGATAGAGTTCCTGGCTCATAGCTTTGGCCTAGCCCAACCTCAGCTATTGCAGGCATTTGGGGAATGAACCAGTAGATGAAAGATACCCCATTACTCTGCCTTTCAGATAAATAAATATCTTTAAAAAAATGTACCTGACCTGTGATCTAAACAGGTTGATGATAATCACAGAGGTCCACAGTTCTGCAAATCCAAAACTGTGAAAATCCAGAGTTTTCCTATAATTTATTTTGTATCAAGATGTGGCATACATTGATAACAAGGCTACTTACAACCTTTATTGATCCTACTTAGTGTAAATCTTGATATATTACATGACAGAAATATTAGTATTTGGTTTCAGATTACTGCTTCAGACCCTATTGTCAGTGTTTTCTTTGTCAAATCTGGAACTCTGTTCTCAAGGTGTTTTTGGTTTTTGATAAGGAGTTAATGAAAGAATAGTACTGCCATTGTGGAATGGTATGAAAATTAAATGCTCAATGACATGTTAAATGTTGGTGTAACACCAACAAACACCAGAATCCCAGTTTAGCAACAGAGATGGAATCAGTGCAGTCCACTAGCACTTCCCACAGTGATGCAATGCTGCTCTTCGCCGTCTAGCACAGTTACCACCAGCTGTTGAACAGTTGGGCTTTGACTCATGCAACTGAGGAACAAGGACTTTACACAGATATGCACTTAAAGAGTGTGCAATTAGAGTGTAATTTACAAGGCTGTTTATTACAAAATTGTCCATAACAGCAGAAATGTTAGAAGCAACTCCATTATCCATCTGTATAGTACCAAGTTAATAACTTTAAAAAATTTTTGCCTCTTTTTTTTATTGTTTGTTAATCTCTCCCACCTTTTTTCCCTGATTTAAGATTTATTTATTTATTTGAAAGGCAAAGTTAGAAAAGGAGAGAGACAGAGCTCTTCTATCCACCGGTTTACTCCCCCAAATGGCCAAAATGACCAGGACTGGACCAGGCTGAAACAAGAGCCAGGAACTTCTTCCAGATCTCTCATGTGGGTGCAGGGGCCCAAGCACTTGGGCCGTCCTCCACTGCTTCTCCAGGTACATTAGCAGGGAGCAGGATTGGAAGTGGAGCAGCCAAGACGAGAACTGGAGCCCATATAGGATGCCAGCACTGCAGGCAGCGGCTTTACCTGCTACGCCACAATGCTGGCCCCCAGAGTATTTTTTTTTTAAATATTTATGTATTTATTTGAAGAACAGAGTTACAAAGAGACAGGGAGAGAGAGAGAGAGATCTTTTATTTGCTGGTTCACTCCCTAAGTGGTCACAGCAACCAGGGCTGGGCCTGGGCAAAGACAGGAACTCCATCCACGTCTCCCACAGGAATGTCAAAGGTCCAAGTACTTGGGCCATTTTCCTGTGCTTTCCCAGGCACATTAGCAGGGAGCTGGGTCAGAAGTAGAGCAGCCAGGGCACAACTGGCACCCATATGGGATGCCAGCATCACAGGCAACAACTTAATCCGCTGTGCCACAACTCCAGGCCCCCAGAGTATTTTAAATAAATCCTAAGTCATGTTATTTCACTTATTAAAAGATAAATTTCTGTATTTAAAATTTTAAAGAAGCTATTCAAGTAAACAGTGATCCATGAATGAGCACCAGACCACAAGTGGAACAGTGCTCCTCTGTGGGGACGTGATGGGGAAACTACAGTGTTGGGGAAGCAAGATAAAGAAAATGCTCAGTTGGCTTCTTAAGTGGAAAGTTCCTCAATAGAGGTTTGTTGACAGTTTCTAGTTGGTGAAATTATTCCAAGTTGGATTTTAGTTCACTTATTTAGGAACCCAGAATGCTGGAGACATCACAGCCTAATGGTATCCCAACTAAATTTTTTATATACCCATAAATACTAGTAACTACAGATCAATAAAATGACATTATAAACTACAGCATCATATCATGAGATCTGATTATTGAATGTGCCCCCCCCTTTAAGATTTATTTATTTATTTGAGAAGCAGAGAGATCTTCCATCCACTGGTTCACTCCCCAAATGGCCACAACGGCCAGAGCTGGGCCAATCCGAAGCCAGGAGCTTCTTCTGGGTCTCCCAGGCAGGTGCGGGGGCCCAAGCACTTGGGCCATCTTCTGCTGCTCTCCCAGGTCATAGCAGAGAGCTGGATTGGAAGTGGAACAGCCGAGTTCTGAACCGGCACCCATATGGGATGCTGGCACTGAGGCAATGGCTTTACCCACTATGCCACAACACCAGCCCCCTGAGTGTGTCTTAAGAAGGAAACTCTGCAGTCACTATTCCTTCCCTGTGCATGGGACAGTTTCTAGTCAGCATTCAGAACAAGCAGCTGAGTATCTCCAGGGAGACAGACTTGAAAACAGGATTTCCAGTAGTCAAGCCATAGACAGGAACCAAGGACTTGGCAGTGGGTTTGGAAGCTATAGATACTTAGTGATGTGAACATTGCAGGCCTTGGAAGGAATGCACTTGATTTCTGGTTTTGACATCGAAGGGAGGTGGTGATGAGAGGCAATGCACCTTGAGGGGACCATATATGCAGGGAATGCCTTTGGTTTTGGGCCTGTTGACTTTAAAGACCTAATGGAGTACACCACATGGAGATAATCCATAGGCAGTCAGAAAGATGAAAACGGGATCCAAGAGAGACATGCACACTTTGCGTCATCACTGGATCACTGGGCTGGACCTGTGAGACACTGTTGATGGTTCAATTGCAAACCAGTGAACTTCTGCTCACTGAGACATTTTGTCATTGGGGCAGATTTGGTAGATACTTTTGATGCTTTTTAAATGGGAAGTAGATGTTATAAACATATGTTGTTCTTGAATGTCACAGAGGTGGGATTTTTGCATTGACTTTTAATATCCTGTAAATATTAACTGCAAATAGCTGCAAACCTATCAATTTATTCTTGTTAAACCAGCAAATCTCGTTTTAATTACATTACTCTAGTAATGACATTTTACACTTTTTTTCTTGTTAAAGACAAAAACAGAACGTGGTGGGGGAGGATGCCGAGCTCCATTAGCCTGACTGTAAGCTCCATGGGGCTGTGCCATGACCTAATGCTTCGCCTTTTGTTTCTCTAGGGCCTATTCCCTGGTGGATTCCAGTCAAGTGTCCACGTTTCTGATATCCATTCTTCTGATAGTCTACGGTAGTTTCAGGTAAGATGTTCTCAAAGTGCGGTCGATTTCTGCTAAAAGTGGAAGACTCACTTCTCTGAAACACCTGGCATCAAAACATCTTATTCTGTGAAGAGACACAGGACTTTGGCAGGAAATTGAAATCGAATGGGATAACTTTAATATTTGTTCTTTAGTTGGTTGCTGATAAGCACAACTTGGTTTTACTTACTGCTTTAGCATATAAATGCAAACATGCATAAACAAATTGTTTAAAATCCTGGCCTGAAAATAACTTAGCTCCAAGTGCTCATTGCTGAGAAGGTTCAGAGGGACCTTGATAGTGATTCTAGAGCCTCAGAGGGAGCAAGGTCAGATGGAAGACTGACTTGAAATTTTGTTTGTTTGTTTGTCTGTTTGTTTTTGACAGGCAGAGTGGACGGTGAGACAGAGAGACAGAGAGGAAGGCCTTCCTTTTGCCTTTGGTTCACCCTCCAATGGCTGCTATGGCCGGCGCGCTGCAGCCAGCGCACCGCACTGATCCGAAGCCAGAAGCCAGGTGCTTCTCCCGGTCTCCCATGCAGGTGCAGGGCCCAAGGACCTGGGCCATCCTCCACTGCACTCCCGGGCCACAGCAGAGAGCTGGACAGGAAGAGGAGCTACCGGGACAGAATCCGGCGCCCCGACTGGGACTAGAACCCGGTGTGCCGGCGCCGCAGGCGGAGGATTAGCCTAGTGAGCCGCGGTGGCCTTGACTTGAAATTTTTAAAAAATTACTAAATATATATGCGGTGAAGTATTAGTAATTAAAAATTATGTTAATTTAAAGTAAAATTACTAAAAATTTATGTAGTAAATAGAGAATTTCGTGTTTTGTTTTTCCCCAGTAAAAAAGTATATCAGCAAAGTTTTAGTAGATACACAAAAACCAGAGCAACTACAATAAAATTGTGCCCTAGAAGTTAATGAAGTTCTTTATCTTATCATAAAATACTTTTAAATAAATAGGCATATCCTTAAGGAAATGTATATTTTTCTTAAAATGAAGGCATTAACATAGGCTGAAAATATGAAATTACTGATGGTCAGCTTTTTTGACCTACAGAAATAGTTTCCTACACTTCACCCTATTATTGCTAGCATTGTGTATGGTAGCACGACCGCGTATTCTCCTTGCTGACCATGGGAATGCTGAGACTGGATCCCGGTGGAGGTCTCTTTCTTGGCAGGCAGCCACAGACCTAGGAAGGAGAATGGAAGAGCTGGAGATCCATCACTCCTGTCTTTGTACTCTCTGCAGCTGAGAGGAGTGTGACGTGGCTGATCCACTTAAGAACAAAGGCTGGGAGGCCAGTGTCATGGTGTGGCGGGTTAAGCCACCACCTGCGACACCCACATCTCATATGGGAGCCACTTGGAAACCTGGCTGCTTCAGTTCAATCCAGCTCCCTGCTAATCCACCTGGGAAGGCAGTGGAGAGTGGCCCAAGGTCTTGGGCCCTGCACCCATGTTGGAGAACTGGAAGAAATTCCTGGCTCCTCACTTTGGTCTGACCTAGCCCTTGGCTGTTGCAGCCATTTGGGGAGTGAACCAGTGAACAGAGGCTCTCTCTGTCTTGGTCTCTCTCTGTGACTCTGGCTTTCAAATAAATAAAAAATAAATCTTTTTTTTTTTTAAATGAAGGCTGCATGAGAAAATTTAAATTGAAAACTTGAAAGGGAGTGATGATAACAAATGAAATAGGCATAAGGATTTTGAACGATCCAGTATTATATGAGTTGAGTATCTCTTACGTGAAATGTTTAAGACCAGACATGTTGCAGCCGGCGCCATGGCACAGTAGGTGAATCCTCCACCTGCAGCACTGACATCCCATATGGGCACCAGTTCTGGTCCTGGCTGCCCTTCTTCCAATCCAGCTCTTTGCTGTGGCCTGGGAAAGTCGTAGAAGATGACCCAAGTGCTTGGGCCCCTGCACCAGCATGGGAGACCAGGACGAAGCACCTGGATCCTGGCTTCGGATTGGCACAGCTCTAGCCATTGCAGCCATTTGAGGAGTGAACCAACGGAAGGAAGGCCTTTCTCTCTGTCTCTCCCTCTCACTGTCTGTAACTCTACATCTCAAATAAATAAATAAAAATATTTTTTAAAAAATCAGACATGCTTTATATTTTAGAGTTACTGGGTTTTAGAATATTTGTGTACAATTTACCAGTTAGACATCACTAATCAGGAAACCCACAGCACTCTAAAATGGAAGTGTTTTTTTGTTTTGTTTTGTTTTGTTTTGTTTTGTTTTGTTTTGTTTTTTTTTTAAGATTTACTTATTTATTTGAAAGAGTTACAAAGAAGAGAGGCAGAGAGAGAGGGAACCTCCATTTGCTGGGCCAGGCTGCAGTCAGAAGCCAGGAGCTTCATCTGAGTCTCCCTTGTGGGTACAGGGGCCTGAGTTCTTGGGCCATCTCCCACTGCTTTCCCAGGCACATTAGCAGGGAGCTGGATCAGAAGTAGAACAACTGGGACTCGAACTGATGCCCTGGGATGCCAGCACTACTGACAGCAGCTTTACCTGCTGTGTGACAGAGCCAGCCCCCAAAACAGAAACTTTCTGAGTATCAGTGTTGGCACTCAAAAAGTTCCAGATTTTCAAATTAGGGATGCACAGTCTGGGCCTGGATTTGGGGGATACTTTTCATCCTTTACTCCAGCACTGAGTAGAACAAGTAAAATGCTACAGCATGTGCAGTGTAGCTGTCAGTAGTGCGAAGTACTGAGGTGCATCTGGAGAGCCGTGCGATTCTAACAGCTCTTGGGAAGCGTCAAGCAAACCAGAGCGGTCAGAACCTCATCCCAATAACCTTGATATTTTGAATCTCTGCTCTTCATTTGTCTTATGTGGCACATGCACCACTCCCCACCTCCAGCCCTTCACGTAAATGAAAATAAACAGACATTTAAAAAAAAAAGAATAATTATTTCTCACAATCAGAACTTTGGAAACAACCCAGATATAGCGTGGGTAAATTATAATTATGTTCATACAATGAAAGTGAGTGAACTACAGCTTTACATACAGTCTGGATGATTCTCACAAATAATGCTGAGTGAAAGAAGCCAGACAAAATACATGCCACATAATTTAGTGCATATAAAGTTCAAATGAATAATGAATCTTTAAAGATATAAAAGCAAAAAAAAAATTTTAGATCCACCACCTAAATATTACTTTCATTGCTGAAAATTTCCACTTGTTCAGTAGATACTTACACTTCAGAATAGTTTTGGAAAGTGGAATTAAATGTATGAGGTGAGGGGCAGGCATTTGACTAGCAGTCAAGACATCCCATGTCAGAGTGCCTGGATTTGGGTCCCGACTCACTCCTAACCCTAGCCTCTTGCTGATGAGTACCCGGGAAGACAGCAGGTGATGATTCATGTAGTTGGGTTTCTGCTACCCACATGTGGGACCTGGGTTGAGTTTCTAGCTCCTGACTTCGATGTGGCCCAGCCCTAGTTGTGGCAAACATTTGAACACTGAACCAGCAGATGGGAGCTCTCTGTCTCTATCTCTGTAGTTTCTTTAGGTATGCATTTATTTTGATTTAAAGTTGTTTTCATAGTGTGTGAAAATGCATATTGTGAAATACCTATGCTTGAATTTCAGAATTGTTTTGGCACCAAAATAAGCTCATACTTTCAATTCTATTGTTCCATGAACTTTTTGAAGTATCCTTGTGTAAGGTATACATTTTGTTGAAATCACTTTAGTCTAATTCTTTACTTCTTGCATTGGGCTCAAAGTAGACAGAATTAAAGACAGTGAGAGAGAGAAAGAGAAAGGTCTTCCTTCCGTTGGTTCACCCCCCAAATGGCTGCTACGGCCAGCGTGCTGCGCTGACCCAAAGCCAGGAGCCAGGTGCTTCCTCCTGGTCTCCCACGCAGATGCAGGGGCCCAAGCACCTGGGCCATCCTCCACTGCCTTCCTGGGCCACAGCAGAGAGCTGGACTGGACTAGCAGAGAGCTGGACTAGAACCCGGCACCCATATGGGATGCTGGCATCGCAGGCGGAGGGTTAGCCAAGTGAGCCACAGTGCTGGCCCCTTAGTCTTATTCTTTTCTAATGAAGATATTTTCTGCCGTCATCTTTGCATACTATAATTTGATGTTTCTTTGTGTTTTCATATTCCACTTTTACTGGATGTGTGGATTGTTAGAGTGACTATCTTATGTATTCTTTTTCTTTTGTTTCATTTATATTCTTCAGTCAAATATCTTGAACTACATTGCTGGAGAATATGGTCTGGCTCTTAGTACATATTATCATGTTGTTTTCCTGAAGGATTCTACCAGTTTAGGATTAGGCACGTTTTAAATAAAACTTCATGTGGTAAATGTACCAAAGATTTAACCACATAGGTGGGAAAGACTTCTGGTGAACCTCTCTGTTTTCAGATTAAGGGGCTGAAGCCCAACAATATGATACAACTTAACAGAGATTTCACAACGAGACAGCAAGACAGTCTGGATTGGTATGGTTCTCGAGCCTTCTAGTCCAATACCTTATGCCTTGTATACTTTAGTGATCCATTGTCTAGAAAAAGTAAATCAGGCCGGCACCGCGGCTCACTAGGCTAATCTTCTGCCTTGTGGCGCCGGCATGCCGGGTTCTAGTCCCGGTCGGGGCGCTGGATTCTGTCCCGGTTGCCCCTCTTCCAGGCCAGCTCTCTGCTGTGGCCAGGGAGTGCAGTGGAGGATGGCCCAAGTGCTTGGGCCCTGCACCCCATGGGAGGCCAGGAGAATTACCTGGCACCTGCCATCAGATCAGCGCGGTGCGCCGGCCGCAGCGCGCCGGCCGCGGCGGCCATTGGAGGGTGAACCAACAGCAAAAGGAAGACCTTTCTCTCTGTCTCTCTCTCTCACTGTCCACTCTGCCTGTCAAAAAATAAAAAATAAATAAATAAATAAAAAATAAAAAGTAAATCATCATGATGCCTTTAATTGTACATTTAAATTGAATATATTAGTAAATGTTTCTTCTTCT